AAATGGAAGCTGAATTGCTGTACTGCTAAGAATAAAGGAATACGTATAGGAAATAATCCTAACTTAACTCCTGTGTTGGTGGACTCTGGGCAAATTATTTCTGAGGGAAGAGATCTTGTTTGGAGTTTAATGTATGAAAATATCAGGTGAGTCATGGTCAATAAAGTAAATGAACTAAAAAGCTACTAGAAAATAAGAACAACATGAAAATGTCATTCTGAATTATTCAAGATTAATCTACATCTTGAATGTTGAGTTTTATATTTTTTTGAGATAGTAAAATCAGTAAAACTAGGAAAATAAGTGCAGACAGACACCAAGGAAGGTCACAAGTGCAGAACAGCTCCCATATGAAAATCTACTGAACAGGTGAGGATTCTTCAGCTGGGAAGACCATCTGCCCTCTACTTCTGAGTGGGGATACGATAGGCTAAAAAGTCCTAAATAATTTGGGTAATATCAAAAGTGAAAGGGAAAAGTTACTCACTCCCATAAAAAAAAAAAAAAAGGAGCCATTAGGTTATATTAAGACATAACCAAAAATCAGGAGAATTAGATGCTTATTTTAAATAAAGGAATCATTACCATGAGATAAAATTGGTGCCAAAAATACGTATTGTTTAAAAATATGATTATATGAAATTGCAGAGAGAAGTGTTATGCAAAATGTATTAGTCAGTGATACTATTTCTGACTCAGAATGTATGAGAGTCATAGATTGGCACACATATGCTGGAGAAGTATTGGTTTTGCCTGGCAAAGTTTTTTATACACCATAAGGCTTCTACAGGAAGCAGAACAGATAACTTAGGAATGAGATAGTAGTGCACCCTATATCCAGTTGTTTTGTAGTGTTGGATCAGGAATCTGGTGTTTTGGGTTTCCCCCCTCCTTTTATTACTTTTTTTTTCTTATGCTTATTTAATGATTGCAGACAAAAGAAGGAGGAGCTGTCACAGAGGATAGCTGAAGAAAGAGCTCGCCGAGAAGAGGAAGAAGCTCGCAGACAAGAAGCAGAAAAAAAAAGGAAGGATGAAGAGGAGGAGCGGGAAAGAGAAGAACGGCTGCGCCGCCAGGCAGAGGAGAGAGAACAGAAGGAGAAAGAAGAGATGGAGCGCATTCAGAGACAGGTATGCTCCCCTCTTGGAATTTCTATGCCAGTCTGGTTGGCATAGAATTGGATGGAGCACCACCTCTTACACACCACCTAGATTAGAGCAATATCTAGAATTTAAATGCCATCTGTAAAGTGAATAGTGTTTAGGAAGAGTTCATTCCATAGAGTAGTTCAAAGAGTAAAGATATTTTTACTTGACAAAAACATGTGGTAGGGAGTTAAGTTTTGGGTTGTTTTTTTTCCCCTCCCCTTAGATTGTATTTAGAACAAATCCTTTCCTATTCCTGATTCATGATTAAAAAAATCAATAGAGTTGTATTGGGGAATTTTGATGAATGGTGTTATCTCAGAGAAATCTTTGTCACAGCACTTACAGAGCGTCTAGATGCAAAGAGTTCGCTGTATTGGAGACATAGTACTGCTGAGTTCTAATCCTGTGCCAAATGTTGCTCTTGTGTAGGACCGGTGGGAAGGGGTAGATTTTGATAACTTTAATAAAACCAAGCAGAACCTTTACCTGGTACAACCCTCCTAAAATATGAGCAGCTGTAAAAAAAAAGAGTAAATAAATGAAAATTAAGTTTTTCAACTGCTTTCATTTTTGAATGGGTATAATTTTGGTTTCCTGACTTTAGAAGAGGGTTTGGTAAGCATGGGATGGGATTATTCTCTTCTTGCATGTGCTCTTACTTCTTGTGTGTGCCTTATTGCTCCAACATCCAGCACTTCAATTTGCTTCATAGACATGAGATCTTCTCCTGGCATATAAATGTATACTTCCAATAATAAATGTTTAAATGGTTATGTTAGTGAAAATGGCTTCAGAACTGCATTCTTCATTTTCAGAAAATGTGTGCTACTTTCTTTGAAATGTTAAGCTGAGATTTAGGTCAGTTTAGCACTCAGAGACAGTGCATGGCCCAGACTTTTTCAGATATTGCAGCTATAACAAATAGTGGTTTGTTCTGTCATACAACACTGTCACTGTCAGGAAACAAGGTATTCCAGACAAGTTTTGCATTTAATTAAAAAGCAGGAATGCAAAGTTTGTGCAAATGTACCTGCTTGTCTTTGGTCTAGGAGACTTTGGTTAAAGAATTACTCAAAACATCAGTATCTTTAATACTTTCCTGGCTGCTTTTTTTTTGCTGAAGGCTAGTAAATGGATTCCTTATTTGTCATCTGATCTGCTACAGAACAGGCACAGAACCAAATATGATGTCTATTGTTTAGTTACATTCTCCTAATGCTATGCAAAATATGGAAATCAATCAAGAAATGTGCAATTTAGTCTGAAAAGACTTTTGGTGACTTGTAAACCCCAGAAGTGTCTTTTCAGGGTGTTGTAGACATGCATAGTTAAGCAGACAGTGTAAGACTGTCCTTAAATAGTAAATTATTCCTCACTTCTTTTTCTTTTACCATCAATGTAGAAAGAAGAGGAAGCTCGCCTACGGGAAGAGGCAGAGCGGATTCGATTAGAACGTGAAAAGCATTTCCAAAGAGAAGAGCAAGAGCGCTTGGAAAGGAAGAAGGTAACTCAGTACATGCAGAGAAACTGTAATTGGTTGTGCTTTAGCAGTCTGCTTCCACCTCAGTAACAGAAAGTTATCCATGATTTAAATGTGCTCTCAGAAAGGCTGCAGTCCTCACTGGCCTGATGTGACAGTGGAGATTACTGCCAGCAGTAATAAATAATTCAGCTTTTTACAATAAACAGATACAGCTGATAAATGACAAGCATTTGTGGTTTGGGAGAGATATATTCAAATTAATGCCAGCAAACATTATTTACCCCTTTACATTTCATTGTAGAGGCTTGAGGAGATCATGAAGAGAACTAGGCGTGTAGAAGCTGTAGATAAGGTCAGTGCTGCTACTTAACGTGTAAATATTGAGCATGTTTCACTTCTTTTCCCTAGTGCCATTTTTAATTTACAAAACTACGTTTCCTTTGCAGAAACCCAATGACCAGCAAAATGGACATATATCAAAGACAAATATTACTGGAGAACCAGGTACTGTGTTTAACTGTGCCTTGAAAACAACAGGTGAATAAATGCCTACTAAGCACAATGACTTGAGATACAGTTCTGAAACTTGACACACTAATTGCAGTAAAGAAAACCACGAGAGTTGTACAACTGAAATCTTAGCAGACATTATTTATTCAGCCTTTCTGTACTGGTAGTTAGCCATTACTAAATGAGTCCAGTGTTTTAGCAACTTTGTCACATTGGTGTTTAACAAGAGGAAGTTGCTTAATGAGTTTTAAGTATTTATAAAGTGAAAAAGAAACAAATTATTTTGTGATCTGATTGCAAAAGAAACAGATTCTACAGTTTCTTTTTTTATATATTATTTCAGATGTGGTTGTTGCAGATTTACTCCATTTTCTTAAAAGATTATTTCATCAAAACAAACTGTTCATTATTCTAAACATCTCTCTATGACTTCTTCCTTTCACACCTGCTGCCTTATTCCCTTGGTCTTTATTTCTCTTTTTGACAACACTGAACTACTGGAAAAGTTTAGTCTCCTTGTCACGCCCACGCTCTTATGTAGAAGTTTACCTAAAATGAAATAAAAAGATAGAGGGAATGGAATAGAAGAAAAGAATAAGACTTTAATACCTAAAATACAGGAAGAAAAATAAAATGTAGCTTATATGCAGCAATCAACAAGTGTCAATTAAAGATCTTATTTAAAGATACTGAAGTCAAGCTATGAAATAGCTTACCCTATTGTAGGTATTAAATAATATTAATCTTTTTCTCCTTTGCATTTGAGTTGAGTAACAGGGAAGACAGCAGTGTTGGCTGATGGATGACTTTTGTGTTGATGCTTACAGTGAACACTGTAATTAGAACCTTTTGATGCAGGTGACATGTGTTTAGAAATTTTCTGTTTACAAATTATCTTGGGGGAAAAAGTTTGTGAGCAACCGATACAGAACACATCTAGGATGCCATCTTTGTCTGCAGGCACTGTTGAAGGTGCTGTAAACCATTTAAATAATTCCTGAAAATATAAATGGCTCTATAACCTTTGGCTAGCGCTTTACTTCTAGACATAGAAGACAAGCAGTCAGTTTCCTAAGGCAGAGGAGACTTTGGATCTCCATTTCTCCAGGCCCAAGGGAAGGCTGGCATCCTTGAGTGACTGAATAAAGACAAAACCGCCCTCCCCCTCGGGGCTGCGCTACTGTTTGGCTTTGCATCATCTAGATACGACACTGACTTAAAGATATGGATTAATGGACATATACCAGCCACCTGAGTTTCCATATTGCTTAGATCCTCTGCTTATAGATAATATCCTCATATTGCTTATAGACCTCTGACTATGCACAAACATTGGGTTTTTAAATTTTTTCCTTAAGTCTTACTGTTTGGCAAAACTTGAGGAGACCTTTATGGGAATGGCCAAATCACATAATGAAACAAAATCCATCACCTTTTTGTCATTTGTTTGGCCTCTGCTTCAAAAGAGGAAGTTGCTCTGCATTTCCAAAGCAGAACAACTTTTTTTCTGCCTTTTTTTTTCCCTGATATTCCATTTGTAGAAGCACAGAAACCTCTCTTTCTAGTATCTTCCATATAAAAACTTGCCAAAGATGAGACTAAGATAGTCAGTATAGAAGACTTCAGCCCAAGCATTTAGAGTATAGGGAAACAGAGCAGCTGAAGGAAGGGCTTATCAGATGAGGGTTTGGGCAATGGAAATAAATGTGTCCAAGCCTGTGAATAATGAATTTTCCTTGCAATTACTGTAAAAGATGCTAGCATGGTGCAGCTGCTTCCTTTTACTTACCTGTATGTGAATCAGTGTGACTGTAGACACAATACAGAAGGCTGTAGTTGTACTTTGAAAGAAAACTGAAAGGCAGGCCAGTAACATCTATCACGTGATCTCGGCATGAGGGGCAAGGATAGTCTAATTTTATGTTGCTCTCTGCAATGTCTTATAGCAGTGATTTGGTACTTGTTGAAAGAAGTATCCTTCCCAATGAAGACTTTTTTTCTTGTTTATTTCCTTCTGGGTTACTGGAACCAAGAAATACCAGACTATGGAATTGGTGATGTCCCAGTGTACTCCTATTCCATTCTCTATTGCTACTTAAAAAGCACCAGCATAACATTCTGTCACATACCAGCCTATTTTGACCACTGGCTTATGTGTTGGAATTGTGCATATTGTTGTAAAATATTTATTCTTGTTTGCAAAGATACAGCTTTGAAATCTGTGACATTTACTTTGGACCTGAAACAGGGCTTGTGTGCCCCAAAACTCAACAAAGGAGAGAGGAAGGGAGGGAGGATGGGGTGTGGGAACTGTGTTTTTTAAAATTATAGCTTGCCTTGTCTGTGCTGGCTTTTGTAGATTTTTTTACCCTAATGTGCAGGTAGATGCTGCTGCTTGTATTTATGAAAACATGTTTTCTCTCTACAATCACAGCCAGTCCTGCATCTCCCTTGGAACCTGCAGCAGGACCTCAGCTTCCACATCCAACAGAATCTCCGCACAACGCGACACCCACCACCTGCACACATGTGATTGTTTCACACCAACCCCCCATAAATGTGGACAGGTAAGAACATTTACAAGTGTTGGGGTGGGGGCGTTTAGAAGATGGGAGTTACTAGAGTAATAAATTATATTCAGATCCATGTGTTCTTTAACTAGTAAGAGCTCAATCCGCCTTGTTTCCTGTTTTTTATTTTTTCCTGTGTTCAGAAAAGAACTCTCATCTTTCCATTAGCAGTAACCCATCTTTGCTAACCAATAGGGAAGGATTCTAAATAAATACAGCATGTTTTTTGCAGTGTTTTGAACAATATGTGTTTACCAGCAATTATTACATTGATTGAAATTTAATGGAAAGGGTAATTTTTTTCTGTTCTTTCCATGAATTAAACTTCATAAAACCCAGTCTGGATTTGCTAATTTTTTAATTAGAATAATGAACACTGTGCCTTCAGCCTAGATGTTTTGATTTCTGAACTGCCTGATGTATCAGCAAGTTTTGTTGTCCCTTGTGTGAGATATGGAACTAGTCACTTTGGTTATGCATTTTTAAAAAAGCACCTTTGTTCTCTATAAGGACAATTTGGGGAGGCAGATATTTAACACTGGAATCTCTCTGTAGCTATGAAGCAAGTCACTCAGACTTTGAGAAATTGTTGAAATGCTTGAAACCTTAGTGTTGAATCAAGTGACATCTGTTACATAAGCATGAGCTGTCAGTTCATGTCATTACTAAAATTACTAATTGTAGTAACGCAGAAAGCCAAATAATCCCATAGCCCTTTCATGTTTTATGCAGGATATGTGTAATATGCATTGAAAAACTTGAATGAGGGAAGCCATCATGCAGTACTGTAATGGACAGTGTGCTTCAGGGTGTGATTGGCACTAATTGAAGGAGGAATTTGCCCTCTCTCGATCTCTCCATATGCCTGGGGGATCTTAGCCTGCTGTCATGCTGACAAGGATGCTCCTGCTGAGAGAAGTTCTGTCAGTGACACTGAGCACCGAGACGCATTCGATGAGCTGCACAGAGCTGCCTCATAATTGTCTTGGGCAGTTATTAAATGTTAATCACTCCGAGCCTTACATGTACATTGATGTTTGAAATACAAAATGTGCCACGCTAATGAGTGCTGTCCTATAGCATTAAAATCTGTGTGGAAGCAACCTCAGAATGCCCCCAGTGAAGAATGAATAAATGAGATTGAAGAACAAAAGTAGGAAGTGGCTGTGGAAGGGAAAGCTGGCATGCCAGGTTGGCATGTGGAGGGACTCTCTGCTTCAGAGGTACAGCCACAGTGACCGGGAAGGCAAAGCCTGAAGCACTTGGTAGTGTCCCATAGATTTTATCACATAGTAAAAGCCAACCCCGCTGCTGTATCTTGTGTACTGTGGTTGTCTGGCATCCAGATATACCTGACATGGTAGCACACACACCAGAGCAGTGGGTGGAAATTGTCTCTTGGGTGAGCATCTCACTTCAGCCCCAAGCAAGATTTAACTTTTGTCTGAAAAAGACTTCATGATTTAGCGACAGGATAGATGAGATTTCTCACCAGAACTTAAAAAGGTGTTACGGGAAGGGCTTGTGGCATGCACTTGTATGGGCAAGAGAAGGAAGCGAAGGAGAAAGTCTTTCTAAGGTGGTATCTTGTTTGAATCGGGCTGGCAGCTGTAGTTGAGGTCAGAATATTTGTAGTTGGGCCTCTCCCGAGACAACGCAGATGGTCTGTCCCTTGCACTGGTAGTGCTGAAGAAGGATGACTTGGAAAGCTACTGGAGGTTTGTGTGAAGATAAAGAGTGTTACTCTGGAGCATGACAGGAAGTTGACTGACTTTGTACTGTGCTGAGCCTTCATCCCTCTTCCTCCCCATCATGCCATCCATCCTGTTTCAGCTCTGTGGATGAGATTCAGTTGGAAATAACATCCTTGCTTCTGGGGTCAACAGTGCAATGCAACTGAGGAAGACTTTAAAAAAAATCTCACCGAGGGAAGACAATGGATTTCAATATTTCATTATTCTTTGTGGCTACTTTTGATCAGCAATACAGATCTTGTTTTGCTGGAACATCATTAGCTTTCCAAGGCAATTGATCCTCATAAACCCTAATGAAAATGCTGTGATCTGCAGCCTTATTTATTGTTTATCTGTTGTCAAAAATTAATAGTTTTAGTGATAGACATTTATTGCAGATGATAGATTGGTGCAATCGTAGTTTGTCCAAATTTTTGTTGGTATTACTACTCTTGTGTTTTAAATAAATGAATGTTAGTCGATTTTTGGCAGGCTTAAATTTTTTTCACTTAGTATTGTGAAAGAAAAAAAACAGATATATTTACTTGTGAATTGAACTGTTTTACTATGCCAGCACTCAAGGTTTTCAAACAGATTTTACATAAATTCTGGGTTCATAAAAACAGTTTCTTTTTCCATAGTCTTCTGAGTTATGATGAGTGTCTGAACATGAACATGATTTTTGTGTTATGGTACCTTTAAGTGGTGCTGAAAGGGTTCTGATTTTGCTGTCTGTGCTTGCTCTGAGTGTCTTCTCCATGAGTAAATTTGGTTAAACAATTTAATGGTGGAATGCTAACGAAGAATAGTGAATATTATTGGGAAAGGAGGGAAAGTGATGACCTTAAATCTGTGGTGAGAAGACTCACAATGGAACCTAAGTGAAGGCGTTTGAGTTGGATAACCCTACGGCTGCCTAATCCATAGCCCACTTGCAGAATTTTGCTTGTATTCCATTTTCTAATTCTTTGCCCAAGTTAGATTGTGTCTGCTACTTCTTAAAAACTTATTTCAGTACAGTGGTTTATGTTGACAGTATTGTCCTTATGATACTTACTCTGTAATGCCTTTCTTTCTGTGCCATGTTCTATAAACACTTGCAATGCAAAACACCTCAGTGAGCGCAGTTCACCTGTGCAGTTCATCTGTGTCTCCATCCTGTATGCAGGGCGCTGGCTCTGGCTAGATTAGGTAACCAGTTTTTAGAAATTTACAGTTGGTCTAGGTGATTGCCTCAATGTCTTGTCCTGGAGAAGAAAGCTCTTCATTGTGGCTGGTTTCAGAGCTGTTGTCTCTGTGGATGAAAAATAAGCACCATTTATTTAAGTCATCCAAAAAGTATGGGGTCCATTTTGCTGTTAATGTCTATCTGTGACTTCTCTGCAAAAATCCCATCAATAAAGACTGACATTGTCTTTCAGATCAGAAGTGGCAGCTGTGGGAACATTTTTCAAAGGCCTGCAAATTACTATTTTATTTTTTCTTTTTCGTTGTTGATTTCTGATGAATTATGGGAAACAGACATATTGAATTCTGACCTGCTTTCTTTCTTTCTTACTGTCTTCAAATTCTTTAATTACGGACTATGTCTACATAGAACTTTGACTAAAATTATCTACATCAGATGTAATTTTGAGTAATACTTAACTTTTTGGATGTTCCAGTTCCTTCAGTTAAAGTAGCTGCTCTTTTCTCAACATCCTCCAGTATATCTTGTTAATATTGATGTGTTCAGGTCAAAGTGTGAAGCTGCAGAGATGCTTTTCAGCTGCCTTGGAGATGTCCTTCAGAGGCTTGCAAGCCTGTTATGTTTGGAAATGCCCTCTGAACAAGTGTGCTACAAGCACACTTATGGAACATGTTAAATACCAAAATTATCCAGTTTTTTCTGCAATACTGTATGTCTCAAAAGGATATCTCTGGTGTTGCATTGGACAACTGAGACATCAGTAAGAATGTAACATAAGATGGTAAGAACAGCTGGAACAGGTCAAAAATATTTTTTTTTGGTTCTTTTCTTTAATGGCCTGTAGCACAGCGTAAAGGGAAAATAAACATTAGCAGGAGATCTTCTGGTCAATAAAGGGTTACTAAGCATTGTGGTCCAAATACAACTACAGGCTCAAGTAGTCCCTAAGCTGCTAATTACCAGAAGCTGGAGGGTATACCAATCCCCTAGGAATTTATCTAATCTCCTTTTGAGCTTGTGGTCAGTGGAAATTAATTCCACTGTTCCATTTTCCCTTTGTTTCATCTGAATGTGCCCCTCTAATTTCGTGGAGCAAGCAACATAGAATCTAGAAGATTTTATAGCATAAAATTTCGAAGACTTATAGTCTTGATTTCCTCTTCTGTACCTACTTTGTGATTGCAGAACGAGTCCTGCTCTCACTCAGTGTGTAATACTGGCAGTGCAATGACAAATAAATACGAAGAACTGTTTATCCATTAAGTCAGCTGATCAATTGGGTAGGAAAAATTACATTTGCAGAAGCAAAAGGCTTCTTCATTGCACCAATGCTTGTTGAGCTACTGTGCGGTTTAATTTATATGAATGAGAAGTTGCTCTCTTCGCACCTCTTTCTTACCCCATTCATCAAACTTGGCACGTTATCCTTAGCTGTGGAATGGTTATTGGCAGTAGAAGGGAGTAACATAAGTAATAGTATACCTTACAGTGAATATAGCTTATAACTACACAGTACAGAGCAAGGTTTAATAGTCCTAAAGCATTTACACAGATTCTGCTCCTCATCTTACAGATGTGGATCTCTGGCACAAAAGGGTGGTGTGACTTTTGACCTCTCCCAGGCAGCCAGTAGGGTTTCTGTGTCTGCTCTCAAACTCAGTGCTGTGAAACATATTTTTCACTTTGAAATTTGCTCAGCATGTCCCCAGATGAAAAAAAGGGTGCCTTTCTGAAAAAGAACCAGTGATGGTTTGAAAATCAGGGAAGGGCTCGCTATGAACACGAGCATATGGTTCTCACAGGAAATCTGGGCTTTGGACAGAGCACTGCCATTTTCAAAAGGGCAATAATAATTTTGTCTCTTGGGAAGTACTGTAGAACAATTCTTTAATTGTTTGTGCAGAGTTGGACACCCAAAGACCCAAGCAAATGAAAATATACTATATACTAATTACAAGCAAGTAGGTTTTTTTTAAGACTAGTAAATGTACTGTCAGGAGAAAATTAGCCTGTGAAACCAAGCAACCTGCTGAGAAATGGCCTGAGGAAATTTATAGCCTAGTTTCAATCTAGGAAAATTGCATCTGAGCCTTAGTGGATGAGACATTTCCAAACAACCTGAACAGGTTTTAATGTGTTCAGATAGGGAATAGGTACCCAGGATTGTCAGGATCTAACTGCTGAGGGCCTTAAGAAGCACCTGTGAAAGATCACAAGATTTTTGAGTGTCATTTGAGTACTTGCTCTGTCTCGAGGAGCTTATGGTCCCATTACTGTCATCCTGTTCACTAAAGGAGCACCTTAGTTTCTCCCCTCCGGCAAGACAGCACATGCCATCTGCAGAGTCAGAGGGATTTGACAATGCAGCTCCTAATAGAAGGTTTGGGAGGGGAGGAGCAAGACTGTGAGACACGAGCATGTATTGTCTCAGGAGGGTGTGTATAATTGCAGAGTGTGTGCTGGTGCTGCTCTTGACTGGAGGAGATGTACAAGGTCTTGCTTATAAGGTGTCTCTGTCAGCTGGGAGACGGAAACCGAAAGTGCAGATGGACAATGAGGAATGCTGGGAGAGGCTTCTTTTGGCTTGGACATGATCACTGAGGGGAGTGTGGAGCTGGCTGGTGCCTTGGAAATAAGCCCCAAGGACTTGTAGGGGAGGAGGGACTGAAAAGACACTATATTGGTAATGGAGTCTTATCTCTGGATAAATGGCACAGAGAAGACACTGCTCCAGAACTGGTGGCAGGAGGTGATCCAAGAAGTAATAAAAATTACAGTGATCTTATCTGAGGGCAATTACATTGATTTGCAATAAGAAGAAGGGTACAAAAGTGGTTAAGAAATCTGAAAAAAATATTAGAGGCTGTAAGTTGCATTGGGTGGGTGGCTCGGGAGAGCAGTGGTGGTGCTGCAGGGGTTTCCTTACTGCTTCCCAGACATACAGCACTCTGTAGCCAGGTGTCATGTAGCCAAATGTAACTACTACCCTGTGTGAGGGAAGGCATACTGGTTTTGGCTGCAAAAATATTTTTTCTACTGTGGTAGAAGCATAGTTTTGTTTTTACTGGCAAAAAGGATGCTCAGGATTGATGCAGGCTTTTCTTCCCTTTGTAATATTGCTTTGAGGAGGACTGAATTTCTGTTCCAGATGAAGTGTGTGAGGAAATAACTATGTTTCTCTTTCAGCAATCTCAATCCAGAGAAAAACACAAATGAAAATGGAATGTCTATGCAGAATGATAACTTTGAAGAGATCATAAACCTGCCTATTGGTTCTAAACCATCCCGGCTGGATGCCATGAACAATGATGGAAGCAATAGTCCCGAAATTCCTTTGAATCCAATTCTAGCCTTTGAAGATAAGGGGACTCTTTTGCCTCAGGTAGATAGTGTTCAAACACATCAGACAGCAGGTAAGTTTGCTGTGGTTGATGAACACTTGTAATGTGTTGTAATTGACAGAGGTCCTAGAGCTCTCAGTTAATCTAAGTTGATCAGTTTAAGCATTCTTAAACCCCACATCACTTGGGGAAAGGAGCGTATTTCTTCTTTGTAAAGCTGTGCATGCCAAGCCCATGTAGATGCAGTGCAAGTTATGGTGAGGCCTTATCTTTTCTTGAATGAGGGATTCTCAGTTATGTTTTACTTTCTTCCACTTGAAGTTTGCCCTGTGCTCCCAAACAGAAGTGGTAAGTGACAGCTGCTGTTGCAAGCAATTAGCAATCAGGTTCCAGTTTTGTAAGTGCAGTACCTGCACATGCAGAAGAGGAGCTGGTACCTAAACACTTTGTAAAATTCCGGATGTACTTTCCTCATCAAGCTCTTGCACACATTAATACCGAGGGACGGTTTGCAAGACACTAGTTTTCTCAATGACATTACAACTTTTCAAGGATGTTAGGTAAACAAACACTAATTGAGCAAATTAAATTGGATACTGTTTTATTTTTCTGTGGCCAGAAAATGTAAGGAGAATCATTAATTGCATATGCATGTAACATTTTGAAGTAAGCATTGCCACTCTGACCTGTCATTTTTGTTACCTTCTGTTGTAGAAGTGATCTGATTGTTTCTTCTGAAGAACCAAAGGTGATAATGAGCGTCTCTACAGTCAGTGGAGTTTCTTCCATGCTATGAAGGAGTGTTTTATTTTTTCTCTCCAGTTTTTTAAAGATTTCTTGAATATCTTTTTTGGAAGGACTTTAGTAAAACCAGCAGAAGAGATGAGGGGAATAGACTTGGATCACCTTTCTAATAGCTTTCATCACTAGAAAAATCATGCTTCACGTGCGTTACTTAATATGGCTATTTCCAACAAGCTTTTTTCGTTAGTAAATGGATATTTCTGCATTCCTTAAGACACCAGACACTGGAATCTGAAAGTAATGGGCTGATTTGGGTGGTGGGACTGATTCTTTTTTGCTTTTTTAAAAAAGGTGGGTGTTGGTTTAAAAGGCATAATTATAAAAATTGGCAAAGAATCTTTTACACTTTGTGGTTCTAATACTTGAAAAATAAATGCCTCATTGCTCTACAAGTAGAGCTAATGGGGTGTTTTATTTAAACCTGTTGGTTTAAATGTTATTGCAGAGAACTCTAATTATGGGGGCAAACTATAGGCTTCTGTATCAGGTTCTTGTAAATGAAATCCCTACAGGGACATTCTGTAAATTGAGATGTCACTATGATCTTCTTGCATTTTCTCTAAAAACACAAAACAAGACAGGTTTTAAAATGTGAAAATTTGAAAGCGTTATTTTTTCATGGACAAGAGGAAAACCTATTGTTCTCCTAGATTATGTATTTATGAATTTTGCTCAGTACAGAAATAAATAATTTAATTGAATAAATTAGACAAATGTGGCAAAAAGATACTGCAAACTTGATTTTTTTTTTTTTAGTTACATCCATGTTCACAAACTTATAAAAGATGTGTATGCATATGCACACAAACATGTGCACACACACACAAGGAAATACCTTGTTCTGAGTCCTGTAAGTTGCTGCTGTTCCCAATGATGGAAGACTTTTCCTTTGCCTTATCAGACTACTGAAGACTGTGTGAAACCTGAAATATTTGATTTTTGGATGATGCAGGTTTGGGATTTTTTGGTTTTGCTCGTTTCAGAGCAAATGGGAAATGGTCATTGTTTGTGCTTTTTACGCAGTGTGTGGGTTTTATAAAGCAGTGCAGTTTGAGTGATAAGAGGAGCAATGCAGTTTGCTTTCTCTTTAATTTGATGCTGATTTCTACTGTCATTGTTCCATCCCTCACTTTTGGTTGTGTTGTGCAGAACTGTAAAATTTTGCACGTTTTTGTGCTTTCCTAAACAATGCTGTTGCAGGCTGAGCTCACTCTAGGCATTTGAGTTTGAAGCATCAAGGAGGGCTCGAGGCATTGCTCTCTGAAGTCAGTGAGAAGATCCTTGGGCAAGGGAAATGGAGGTTCTTGGGTTTTCAGCTCATGGTAAGAGAGAATGTTTCATTAAGATTCCTGTGCTTGCCTTTAGTGAGCACTGAGCGAGGCCTCTAGGAAGCTGTGCAGAAAGTCTATGCTAGCAGAAGAAATCCTCTGAGACAAAACCTGAAGAATTTTTGAAGAAACTTCTGCTGCTGCCAAGTGTTCATCTTATAGAGGAGATGGGATAAAAGCAATGGAAATAAAATGAAAGAGACTTCATCTGCCAGAATCTACATGGAAGGGAAAAAAACAGCCATTCAGTCAGAATGCTTTCAATAGTAACTTGTGACACAGTAAAATGAATTGGGTTCCTTTCTTGCTTTCTTTAGTTTTCCATGTACATAGCCACAATATTTTGAAGTGTCCAAAATATGTAGTTTTTCTTTAAAACTATATATATAGCATGTAAGTACCAAATAAAACTTGTTTGAAATATTTATTTCTACTTATATTTTCATTTTCTTGCATCGCTGAAGCAGGAGTCAATCTCTGGTGGAAAACTCTTCTTGCTACTCCTGGTCTGCTTAAAACTTGCTTCAGGTTTCCTCTAATTTTTTTAATAGAAAATGAGTACAAAGTCACCTGTAGCTACAAAGAGAACAAAGAAGTAGCCAGTAAGATTTGGCTTCAGTTTTAAGTCTGGGGATTCATTTAGGCTCAGGTTTAAATTATGTTGATATTGAGCTATTTAGGCTTGTGTCTAAATTATGCTGATATGTTTTTTGTGAGATTTCAGAACACTTGCTTCATTGTTTGTAGCACAGATTGAGGCCCTGCTTCATTTCTCATCTGTACTTTGCTTATTTTGGTTTAATTTTTTCTTTTTTTAACAGGGTTGGAGTAAAAACAATTTATCACTACATTCAGTCCAGGTTTGCTTCAAATGAGAGAGAGAAATTCCTCTCTTTCAAGGGCCTGACAACAAAACAAAGACTAGGAAATTGTGAGTAGAATTAGGTGTATCAGTTAAGAAAAAAAAAAAGAATATTTAATCTTTAAGTCTTTTGGCTAATCTTCTTTCTTTAAATGAAGGGAAAAATAGTTTCTCTTCTGTTGAGTGTTGCTCTTTACAATAAAATCTGGTATGGAGTGAAGGCCAGCTCCTTTCCCTTCTATTGCAGCTGGTTTTGTTGTCTACACTAACAGAGGCAAAGCTGAACAACTCAATGAGGTAGAACTAGGAACTGTAGAAGTTGCAGACAGCTGTTCTGAAGGTACAGAATAGTAACCTTTCACAGCAGTGAGCTGTGTGCTTTGGAAAGACTCAGCTCCTTGCTCACATCTTCCCAACATAAATGAGTGTAGTTCAGTACATCACAACTGGTGGGTTGTTCACCATTAGCTTTGCTTGTTTCACGTCTTTTATCTCCATTCCTGATGAAGAATGCTTTGTTATTTTCTTTTTTGCTAAGACTTTGAAATAATGTTTTCAATTAAATACCCAAGAATACAGAAACAGGATAGATTCTGATATAATTACTTAATATTGCACTGATTTTCTTTTCGGAAACTCATCTAAAGTCACCCACAGAGGTGGCTTGAAATTTGAGATTTTGGGATTTTGTTCCTAGCTGTGTCAGTCAGTTAGTCCTCTGTTTCAGTAAGTCCACCTGGCCAAAGTTGAGCACATGGTTTTTCATAGAGATCTCAAAACAAAATTCCTGTCACACGTGAATATTGAAAATGCCATATTGCTTTATCCACAAGGTTTCTGTCTGCCCTGTACTTTAGCAGGCCCTCTTACTCCACTGCAGAGAGGCTTCTGAGTGTGAGTTTTGTTTTGGTTGGTTTTAAGTGGGTTTGTTTGTTTTCCAAAGAGTACTGTTGGAAAAAACTTGCAGATATTAAAAGGTATCATTATCGAAAATGTTTCCCCAAAGCACCAAAATTAAGCTTAGAGATTTGGGCCACATTAAAATGCAACATTGAGCTCTTAATTGACAAAATGATTTTTTTAAACTATTTTTTTACTCTCACTTTTATTCCATGTTTGTAGCCAGTAACAACTCTAAAGCTCTACATGCACATAAGAGTTATAACGTGATCAGTAATACCTCAAAAGACAGTGTGCTGCTTTTGGCTGGGGTAGAGTTAGTTTTCTTCACAGTAGCTAGAGGGGGGCTGTGTTTTGGATTTGTGCTGAACACACTGTTGATAACAATGCGTTTTAGTTATTGCTGAGCAGCTCTTGCACAGAGTCAGCCTCTCACACCACCCCACCATCAAGGAGGCTGGGGGTGCACAAAAAGTTGGGAGCAGACACGGCTGGGACAGCTGATCCCAGCTGACCAAAGGGACATTCCAAACCTTACAGTGTCATGCTCAGTATATAAAGGTGGGGGAAGGAGGACGAAAGGGAGGGTAGTCGGAGTTAAGGTGTGTGTCTTCCCAAGTAACCATTACACATGGGGAGTAATGGTTTTCCTGGAGATGGCTGAACATCTGCCCACCCATGGGAAGTGGACACACAAGAAGAGCAAAACAATTCCTTGTTTTGCATCGCTTGTGTGTGTGGCTTTTGCTTTCCCTGTTGAACTCGCTTTCTCTCAACACCCAGTCACTTTTAGGGGGAGTGATCAAGTGGCTGCATGGGGCTAAGCTGCCAGCTGGGGTTAAACCATGACCATCAGGAGACCTCTGAAATGTTTTCACAAGAAACTGCTATCTGGCAGCAGATGCTTGCTGTAAGAGCGGTGCCAGAATTTCAGTATTCCAGCTAGTTCAAAATGAAGCTTCAGAAGGACTTTTGTATTCAAAAAACAGTATATTGATCAAAGATGGGATTGGAGTACTAATACATTATTTATCATTATTATTTTTATGATTATTAGATTACTATTGTCTCACAAATTAAAACCTATATTAAAAAATCAGTGCCCCATAATTTCAAGGCTCTGCGCTACATTTTTTTTCCTGAAAAATACTGTTTTGATTGGCTAAAAGGTTTGTGAGAGAGCCTCTTTCTCCTTTGGAGGAGAAGGAAGGGGAGGTTGTCCCATATTCTGTGTACATGTAAGAAAATTAGTTGAATTTAAACATATTATTAGTTTTTTTGTTCTTTAACTCCTTTTAAAATGAAGTATCAACATCAAAGTATAAGAACAATTCCTAATTTTACCAAATATTTTCACTCCTTCCCTGTTGCAAGTACCTTTGGAAGTAATTTAACATTTGCAGAACACAGATTTCTGTATTCAAACACATCTCACCCAAATAATTTGTGGTTGCTGCTATATTCTATACATGCTCTGTGCAACATCTACTTGCCTTAATGTGCCTTTGCTCCTCTGCTGGAGAGTAGTGCCTACAGTGTGGACAAGGATGAGCAGAAAGGCTTGCCCCATTCTTGTCTCTTCCAAATTTCTTGCAATTTCTGAATTTTCCCTCAGCACTTACTTTCTGTAGTAACCTGTTATTAGTTTTCTACCTTTATACTATGGGTTAATTTGATTATTTTCCAAAGACCCTGGAGTGTGCTCTGAAATCAGGGGCATGGAACTGAAACAAAGATGAATGCAGAGTAACCCGTGTACTTAAGAGATGCCTCTTCAGTGGAATCAGCCTATTACATGAATAAAACCTCTTGAATACAGTGCTGGTTTTTTGAAGGGTGGTGAGGAAACCAAAAACAAACCATGGAGGATTAACCAAACATAACAGGTGTTTTTCAGACCCCGTTTGGAAAGGACCGTAGTCTTGTCCTGAAGCACACCTAAGCAGCCAAACAAAGTGTTCAAGGAATTGTCTTTTGATCTGTTCCAGCTGTTATCAGAACATCTCTTCTGTAGGATGAAACTGCAAGCAGCAGGAAAACTCATAACTACAGGAATCAACTAAAAGAGTTGTTTTCTCTGAAAGTTCAGGCTCTTGGAGGTGATAAGTTTTCATAAGCCATTTGGCTTAACTGTCTTCATGGCAAATAGCTGCCTTAAGGAGCTCTTGAGTTTCTTCTGTTTGTTGACGGACTTGCTCAAGGAGTTTGGCCATTTGGCTTTTTCTGAATGCTAATGAAAATTCTGGATCTGTAGAGGAATAACAGGTGTTAGGAAACCCGCTGTTTTCCCCTGTATTCTAATGCAGATACTTAGAAAGCTTATTTTTCAGGATGGTCTTACTACAGCATATAGAGAAGGCAGAACAATATTCTTGTACCACACAAAGCAGATACAAATTCAGTTTTCATCCCTACAGCCATTCAAGATTGCTGCTAAATTTTCCTGATCCAGATGTCTAAATCTCAGTTGCCAAATGAAGCTTTATGCAACAGCTGCATATCAGGACATAGCAAAGGTCTTGACTCTGGCTCTACATATGCAAAGATATATGCTATATATTATATGTATTTATTACCACATTATAACTCTCATAAGTACTCAAATTTTACCTAAAGGCAAAAAGACTAACTAAAACCAGAAAAATTTTAAGGAATGGACTTTTAAGTATGAAGAAGATGTGAGACTTCCCACTTTAATATCAGCTAATCATGCAATTTGCTTATTTGCTTGCTTTAACAAAATAAACAACATTTAAAAAACTGTTAGATTGCATCTACTGCCAAACATACTGGATAAAAGCATCTCTACCTGAAGTACCATTTCCCTGCTGATCAGAAAGCCTTTAGTTTTAAAGCACACAAATAAACAAACCCTTCCCACTTTTATCATAAGATACTCTTAGTTACTTTAGAACAGGTGAAGTAACAGCTCCCCTTGAGATTATTCTGTTTGCTTAAGTGAGCAGAGCTAGTCGCTAGAGGAGTTCGCCCGGCACTGTCAGTGGTTGGGACTCCATGGTCTTAGAGGTCTTTTCCAAGCCTAATGATTCTGATTTCTGTTCCAAAGCAGTGCCTGCTTGCCACTGATAGGTGCAGGCAGGCTCTGGGAGCGCCCCGGGGGCTCAGCCCAGCAGGAAGGACTTACCTTCTTGTAGTCTGCAGAATGTGGAGATGCCCAGCTGCTGAAACCGGATCTCTCGGTGGGTAAGAAAATTCTCGAGGTATGCTTGAATCTCTCCAATGTGATGCTTGCATAAAAGCATCATTTTTTCTGCATAAATGGGAGAACCACTGGAGATCAATACAAGCCTTTAAAACACTTTGAAAACTGATTTTTGTAACAACAATTGTAAGATCGTTAATGACTCACCTACCTTCAGCTACAACCAGCATTACTGTAAAGACTGGCAAGGGACTTGCCTGTACTACAGCTTCTGGTAATATTGCTGATACTTCAGGTAAATGAAACGCTGAATGGGCTGCTGTGCTAGGAATCTGGTCCTTGTGCAAGGTGCCTGCTGATTTATGGACTGATCAGCCTGTCACACTAACCTGAAGTGATTATGCTGTTGGACTCTGTTCACTGCCCAAGAGTCTGCTCCGTTGCAAACCCTCGGTGGTAGAAATGAAACAGATTTGCATTTTCCCTTATTGGAGACTCGTTA